TGTTGTATCAGCTTACATTAAAAAAAAGCATCAAAATTGGTGAATTTTTGTGTAGTCATTTTAATATTGAGGAAGGAAGAAAATACACAACAATTTCAGCATATTATGCTTTATTATTTAAAAAAGGCAAAAATGCAACTCACATAGGAATAAAATTTTAAGCAGTGTATGGAGAAGATTCTATGACTAATTGAAAGTGTCAAAAGTGGTTTGCAAAGTTTCATGCTGGAGATTTCTAAATGGACAATGCTACACAGTTGGGCAGACCAGTTGAAGTTGATAGCAATCAAATCGAGACATTGAGAACAACTGTCATTATACCACAGAGGAGACAGCCAATATATTTGAAATATCCAAAGCAATAAAGTTTTTGGTGAAAATGAGTGTGTCTTTTATTTTTCAGAAAAACCATATGGACTTTTTGGCCAACCCAATAAATTAAGATGGTGTAGAATATAACAAAAGAAAATTTACATTAGACATAATGTAAATTTTTATTCACAGAAAATTAAGGAAACAGTTTTACCACAATCTATAACTCTTGAGGACTTTAACTATGGAAGGTGTTTTCTTACAAAAGATTTTCCTCTTGTGCAATCTTCAAGTTAATTGCCTTTCTTCTGGAAGTTTTATTCCTGCTCAAGTCTTCCTCCCCCCATCCCCAATATCCTATTCTTGTAATTTTACTGCTTATTAACTAGTTCTAAATATTTTAAACTTTAGCATACTCACTACTACAATATGTGATTTAGACCTAGTCCTTCATGATGGCCTTATTGGTGAAACTCCTTACAATTATTTGAAGATGCCACTATCTGGTAAGCCAAAGCTTGTTGCATCCTAGCCCTACAACCCTATCAGTATCTGAGAGATGACTGATGTAACCTAATCCCAGACTACGATCAATAGTACCAGATTTAAAGACTAAATGTTCTACTTACTTTACCAAATTACATACAATTCTTCTAATTTACTTCTAGAGGTTGATCACAGAAAGATACTTTACACCTATGGTGATTAACAAGAGTTAATTTCCACTGACGCTAAGAAAAGAATTTTTTTAAACAGTGACTTCCACAAGTATCCTGAAAACATGACTCAAAATTTCCAAAAGCATGCAGATAGCTTGTGTAGGATATCTTCTTAATGACAGCAATAATCCTGCCTTTTATTGACTGGTCTCAGGCCTCCCTTTGAAAAAGAGATGTTGGGGTTATCTTCAAATGTCTGGAGATCTGACTATCTGTTCACATTAGGAGTCTGAAGCTGGAAATTCTGTATGTACTAGCAGGATTTTTTTAACAGTGGAATTCATCAAAGGGTGCCCTGGTAGTGAGACAGCTTTGTCACTATAGACCGTCCAAAAATCTCTATTTATAGGACTTTCTCTATGTCCCTTAGTGTCCCCAGAGTTGCTTTCGAACTTTGCATCAGAAAATATTCCTGGTTGGTAGGTATTCTGGAAATACGGTTACAGAAAGGAGCTGGGGATAGCAGCTTTTAGGATGTAAACTCGCATTTAGTCCTTGACTACTAGATTCTTGGAGATAAGCAGAATAGTGACATTGTTAGATTTCAATAATCAGTATGTAAATTTCCATGATCACTTTATCAATAGCCTGACACACCTATCTATTGCTGTGCCAGGTATTTCTGAATCTATAATTCTCCAGTTCAGTTTCTAAAGGAAATAAGCTTCCATTCTCTTTTGGGGAATGTAGGTGTGGTAGACAAGAGGATGTGTCATGGAAGATGGGATCTGTGAGTTTTACTCACAACTTCAATAATATTTTCAATATCCAAACAAAATGTTGTTTTCTATTAAAGCAGACTATTCATTTCGAAATTAAAATGTAACTGAAAGAGACCTCCCAAAGTAAGTCCTTAATTCCATAAAGATATATACACCAAGGTGACAAAATAAGATTCAACATTTTTGTCCCAAGTTATAAGGACAAGTTTGTAATAAGCTACTATTTTGCAAAATTGGGAGGGAGCTAGGTAATAAGGAAAAATAGAGAGCCATGATGAAATTAAGAAATAAGAAAAGAAAAGGAAGACTTCCGGGTCAAGATAGAGGCATAGGTAGATACACTGTCCCTCCACACGCAACCAAAATAAAACAACAACTTAGAAACAAAATAACAACCAGAAGTGACAGAAAATTGAACTGTATGGAAGTCCCACAACCAAGGAGTTAAAATAGACACCTTCATCCAGACCCGTAGGAGGGGCAGAGTCGGGTGGCTGGGAGAAGAGGAGCAAAAAAAGCAGTGGCACTGGGGACACAAGGCAGCAGCTCACAAGCCCTGGGCATGCAAGATGGCAGCAGGCAGACCCTGGGCACGTAGGCAGCAGCTGGCAGACCCCAGGTGCCAGGTGGCAATGGGCAGACCCAACAAGGTGGTGATTATGAACTGGGACACAGCACACAAGGCAGCTGGCTGACCTTGCAGTCCCACATTTGAGCGCAGCTAAACCAGGTGAAACTGGGGAGTGAGACAGACCATGCAACCCAGGGTCCCAGTGCAGGAAAAGAAAGCCTCAAAACACCGACTGAAAACACCTGTGGGGGGGGCGGTGTGAGGTTCCAGGAGAGACTCCAAACCTTACAGGAGAGTTCGTTGGAGAGACCCACAGGGTCCTAGAAAGTACACAAGCCCACCTACCAGAGAACCAGCACCAGAAGGCCCCAGTTTGCTTGAGGGAAGCGATGAAAGGGACTGGAATCCAAGAGAGTGGAGCAAGTGCCATTGCTCCCTTTCTGACCCTGCCTCCACATATAGCGTCACAACCCAGCAACGAGGTCTGCCCTGCCCTGGTGGACACCTAAGGCTCCAGTCTTTCACTATATAACAGGCACGTACACACACACACACACACACACACACACACACACACACACACACACACGCACCCCACCCACCACCCCAAAATGAAAGAAAAGATCAAAGCTCCAGCACAAATACAACTAAGCGACCAAGAGATAGCCAACCTATCAGATGCACAGTTCAAAGGACTGGTGATCAGGATGCTCACGGAATTGATTTGTGAATTTGGTTTGTAAATTTGGTCACAAATTACATGAAAAAATGAAGGCTACACTAAGTGAAACGAAGGAAAATGCACAGGAAACCAATAGTGATGGGAAGGAAACTGAGACTCAGATCACTGGAGTGGACCAGAAGGAAGAAAGAAATGACCAAAGAGAAAAGGATGAAGAAACAAGAATTCAAAAAAATGAGGAGAGGCTTAGGAACCTCCAGGACATCTTTAAATGTTCCAACATCCAAATTATTATAGGGGTACCAGAAGGGGAAGAGGAATAGCCACCAGTAGAACACTTATTTGAACAGATAATAAAGAACTTCCCCAATCTGGCAAAGGAAATAGACTTCCAGGAAATCCAGGAAGCTCAGAGTCCCAAAGAAGTTGGACCCAAGGAGGAACACACCAAGGCACATCAGAATTACATTAGCCAAGGTTAAAATGAAGGAGAGAATCCTAGAAGCAGCAAGAGATAAGGGGACAGTCACCTACAAAGGAGTTCCCATCAGACTGTCAGTAGATTTCTCAAAAGAGACCTTACAGGCAAGAACTGGCTGGAAAGAGGTATTCCAAGTCATGAAAGGCAAGGACCTACAACCAAGATGGATCTATCCAGCAAAGCTTTCATTTAGAATGGAAGGACAGATAAAGTGCTTCTCAGATAAGCTCAAATTCAAGGAGTTCATCATCACCAAGCCCTCATTATATGAAATGTTAAAGGGACTTACCTAAGAAAAAGAAGATAAGAAAGATGAACAGTGAAAGGACAGCAAACTCACAGTTATTAAGAACCACACCTAAAACAAAAGCAAACTAAGAGGACAGCTAGATCAGGAGTGAACCATAGAAATGAAGATCACATGGAGGGTTAGCAACAGGGGAGTGGGAGAAGGAGAAGGGGGGAGAAGGTACAGAAAATAAGTAGCATAGATGGTAGGTAGAAAATAGATAGGGGGGAGGGCAAGAATAGTATGGGAAATATAGAATATAAGAAACTTAAAGACACGTAGTCATACACTAAAGGGGGGGAATAGTGGGGGAGGGGTGTGCAGGGTGGAGGGGAATGAAGGGGGGAAATAGAACTGTAATGGCATAATTAATAAAATATATTTAAAAAAATGGATATGTTCTCTGACCCAGTGATCCCACTTCTGGGAATATATCCAAACAAACCCAAAACACTAATCTGAAAAAACATAAGCACCCTATGTTCATTCCAATGTTATTTACAGTCATCGAGATTGGAAGCAGCCCAAGTGTCCATCAGTAGTTGAGTGGATAAAACAACTATGAGACATTTACACAATAGAATACTCCTTGTCCATAAAAAAGAAGACAATTTTACCCTTTGCAATAGTGTAGATGGACCTGGAGAACATTATGTTAAGTGAAATAAGCCAGTCAGAGAAAGACAAATGCCAATGATTTCACTCACATATGGAATCTAATGAGCAAACTGAACTCATAAAGAAAATGGTGACAGACTCATAGATGGGGGGGGAAGTGACGGGATGGAAGAATTGAACAAAAAACATAAAAGGACTTGTGGACATGGAGAACAGTGTGGTGACTACTGTGGGGAGGAAAGTACAAGGTCACTAAATGGTAATGAAAAAATACAATAAAGATTAATTTTAAATTACTCACTTAGGTAATTATCCTTTTTTTTTGTTTTAAAGATTTTATTTTTAGAAAAAGGGAGGGAAACATCAACGTGCAGTTGCCTGTCATGCACCCCGCCTTTCACACTCCACACAAATGGGGACTTGGCATGTAACCCAGGCAAGTACTGACTAGGAATCAAACCAGTGACACTCTGGTGCGCAGGGTGGCACTCAATCCACTGAGCCACACCAGCCGGGGAGGTAATTATTCTTGTTATATAGTTAATCATTATAAAACTTTAGAAAGTTATAGTTTATTCAGCTGTGGTAGGAAAATATACTACTTACACTTTTCTTTATTGCCGTTGGTATTATGCAAGAAGTCTCCATCAGAACGTGTTGTAGGAAAGTCATCTTCATCATCTTCTACCACTGAATAAAATATATTTAAGAATATTAGGATGAAAGTAAATAGAAATTAACCAGTTTATTCTTACATTCAGCTGAGTCAATATATTCTGGATTCTTGGAGTACAAGATCTTATTCATCTCTGTATTTTCAGTGCTTATCAAGGTATGACCAATAAATGTGCTGTAGGAAGTCTTCAACACATTATAAAAACTGTACCTATTCTCATTTGTATAAGGGATGGTGTTAAAATGTGAGTTACTTTGCCCTTTAGTCTTCCTACCTCCCCTGGGGCAATTTCGTAATTCCATCGGAGGCCTACGAGGGGTGAACAGGACTGACAGAGTATAACTTCCATGCAGAGGGCACTTTAGCTGCCTTCAGGAGTTCCTAAATTTACCATTTCTGAACATGCATGGGAAATATAATGACTTGCAGATGTGACATCAATTTTCATGATTCATCCCAGTGTATCTGTACCTGGAGATCCCTTTTAACTTACTCAATTCTAGAAAAAACAAAATCCCCTGTGTTCTCCTTTGCATACCTCTTTGTTCTATGTCCTCTTTTTTTACTGCATGACATACTGTAAGTTTCTGCACTATGTATTCTACTTTTAACGCAAATTTCTAGACCTTGGCAATCTTATCCTCTGCTTTCTATCAAGTGTTTTTATGTTTTCTTTATTTTATTATTTTTGAGGAACTCTCCTTCTACAGAAACAATCTTCATCTTAAACTGTCAAAGTTTTTGATTGTATCTCTTACCTCAGAGGTAATTTGGCTCTACAGAGAACATTTCACCCATTTTAGCTTCTCTCCAATAGGTACAAAGCCCATTCCTATTCCTTATTCCTTCCCTTGACTAAAATGGTAGAAATCACTATGAAAAGTACCTTTACTCTGTATTGCCATTTCAAATTACTAAGCTATTTCATTTTTTCATCACTTGAAAATTTTGCTACTCATCCATAACAGTTTTTTTCAAACCATAAGCTGCTATTATCTACTAATAGCTATTATTCACTTCTATCTAGCTAGCTGGTACCAATATGACTTCATCCTTTTCTTTTCCATGCCCATCATTTCTACAGACCAGTATCGATATTGAAGCCTCTGCAGATACCTAAATCCCAAGATTAACCAGATTCCTAAATTCTGTGGATCTTCACTGTCTCATCAATCATTTTCAAATATGGTCAATTCTAGAAATTCAAGAACACAGCACACTGTTCTGTTTTTAAATCAGTATTCACCATCAGGTAAAATTCTGACCTTGACTCAATACTACCCCGATTAACTGCTCTTAAATAGTAAAAGATTTGTCTTTTACTCAACTCATTAGTACCTACTTTGGGTTATTGAAGATTGAATTTCATACCCCTAACCATCCAATAGCCTAGTACCAACAAACAGATTTTCAACCTTCTTTTTCTAGCCCTAAAATACATAAAAATGATGAACATTAAGGGCCTGTATGCTGGATATAACATTTTTTTTTACAACTAAGAAAAGAGATATAGAGAAATGTTTTATCAATAAACAGTAGAGCCTTTCCTTTAATGTGGTGCATCTGTGTTGTTTTAAAATCAAGCAGTATGGTTAGGTTAAAGATAATGTCGTCTATTTCTGTAATCCCAGAGTAGCTAAGACCTAAAGGGTTAATTAAGTCTTATGGAAGTATGTATGGGAGTGGTACAGGATCACGTTAGGACAGCCTTACTAGCACTTCTGATCAAACATTTTACATGAGAACACTGATGATCACTTAAAATAAAAAAGAGTCTGTTACTATCGTTTCAATGACACACTTACTACACAAGAGTACCGTAATTCTTAAAATGCACAGACTTAGTTTTGTAATTTGATAAAAGTGCACCTTTAGAGATGATCCTTAGACTTAGGTTAGCAACTCTGATCTACAAAGTAGAAAACTAAGGTCCATGTCCGTAGTTCACCTTTATCGAGCATGTATTCTTAAAAACATCAATATTTCTTAAAAAGCATTTATAGAAAAAATAACTGCTATAGGTAGACTTGTGACTCCCAAAATTTATATGCCAAAGTCCTAACTCCCCTGTATCTCAGAAGGTGACTATACTTGGAGGCAGGGATTTTACAGAGGTAATCAAGTAAAAATGAGGTCATCAGGGTGGGCCCTAATCCAGTATGACTGGTGTCCTTATAAGAGGAAGAAATTTGGACACAGACACAGACACAGGGAAAAGACGAACATCTACAAGGCAAGGAGAGAGGCTTGGAATAGCTCCTTCCTTTCGTGGCCCTCAAAGGAAACCAACCCTGCCAACAACTTGATCCTAGACTTCTAGCCTCCAGAACTGTGAGAAAATTAATTTCTGGTGTTTAAGTTACCCAGCCTGTGGTACTTCTGACAACAGTCTTGGCAAACTAGTCTACCACTGTAATTATTTACTCAAAATGAATAATGTTTAAAAATTTTCGAATCTTCTAAACAAACTGGTTACAACTGACTTCCAACTTCTACTCCTCCCAATGTCGTGTATGTCTTTCAAATGCTGTACACTTCTGGTGTGGATCATTTAAAAATAATCAAAGAATGCAACTCTGAATATATCCTAATTTTGTTTAAAGGGATAGTTTCACACAAATAAAAGTGGGTATGTAGTGTTTAATTTGATAAAAAAGTTTTATGGACTTCCACCAAGATGGAGGTGTAGGTGGAAGCATTGTGCCTCCTCACACACCAAGTTTAAAAACAACAAAGTTTTAGCAATAAAAACGCAGCCATACCACAGAAAGTTGAACTATCCAGGAGTCTGAAAATAATGAACCCTGCAGCCAAACTGGTCAGAGGGGTGAAGCCAGCAGCAGAGTGGGATCAGGCAGGTAAGATCCACCAGACCGACCCAGGCGCAAGACCCAGGCACACCAGCAGTTGTAGGTGGATCCCAGGTGTGGAGTAGCGGGCGGACCCACTGAGGGCTGACCAGGGTCACACATTTGCATGCAGATAAACCAGTGAAGGAGCAAGCAGTGAGAAAGACCATGCAGGGCCCAGTGGCGGGAAGCGGCAGAGGGGACCGCCATTGTCCCTCTCTGACCCTGCCCCCAGGTACAGTGTCACAAATCAGCGACCTGGGTGGTCCTGCCCTGGTGAACACTTAAGGCTCCACTCCTTATGCATAACAGGCACAAACAGATCAAAACATGGCTCAAGAACAACTCAGAGCCCCAGAGCTGATAAATCTAAGCAATGAAGAAATAGCCAAACTTTCAGATGCACAGTTCAAAACACTGGTGATCAGGATGCTCACAGAACTGGTTGATTTTGGTCACAAATCAGATGAAAAAATGAAGAGTACAATAAGTGAAATGAAGCAAAATGCATGGGGAACCAATAGTGATGGAAAGGAAACTGAGACTCAAATCAAAGGAGTGCACCAGAAAGAGGAAAAAAATGACCAAACAGAAAAGGATGAAGAAACAAGAATTCAAAGAAAAAAAAAAAAAGGGAGCTCCAGTGGCGCAATCGGTTAGCGCCCGGTACTTATAAGAATTCAAAAAAATGAAGAGAGGCTTAGGAACCTTCAGGACATCTTTAAACGTTCCAACATCTGAATTATAGGGGTACCAGAAGGGGAAGAGGAACAGCCACGAGTAGAAAACTTATTTGAACAAATAATAAAGAAGAACTTCCCCAATCTGGCAAAGGAAATAGACTTCCAGGAAATCCAGGAAGCTCAGAGAGTCCCAAAGAAGTTGGACCCAAGGAGGAACACACCAAGGCACATCAGAATTACATTAGCCAAGGTTAAAATGAAGGAGAGAATTCTAGAAGCAGCAAGAGATAAGGGGACAGTCACCTACAAAGGAGTTCCCATCAGACTGTCAGCAGATTTCTCAAAAGGGCCCTTACAGGCAAGAAGGGTCTGGAAAGAAGTATTCCAAGTCATGAAATCCAAAGACCTACATCCAAGATTGCTCTATCCAGCAAAGCTTTCATTTAGAATGGAAGGACAGATAAAGTACTTCTCAGATAAGTTCAAATTCAAGGAGTTCATCATCACCAAGCCCTTATTATATGAAATGTTAAAGGGACTTACCTAAGAAAAAGAAGATAAGAAAGATGAACAGTGAAAGGACAGCAAACTCACAATGATTAACAACCACACCTAAAACAAAAGCAAACTAAGAGGACAGCTAGATTAGGAACAGAACCATAGAAATGAAGATCACATGGAGGGTTAGCAACAGGGGAGTGGGAGAAGGAGAAGGGGGGAGAAGGTACAGAAAATAAGTAGCATAGACAGTAGGTAGAAAATAGATAGGGGGGAGGGCAAGATTAGTATGGGAAATACAGAATTTAAAGAACTTGAGACGTGGTTATAAACTAAAGGGGGGGAATGGTAGGGGAGGGGGTATAGAAGGGAATGAAGGGAGGAAATAGAACAACTGTAATGGCATAATCAATAAAATATATTTTTAAAAAAGCTTTATGCAGTCAGCTTTCTGTATCCATGGACTGAAAGTATTTTTTAAAAAGTTACATTGTTGCTGACACATACTTTATGGATAGGCCTACAATGGTGTATCTGTACTAAACATGAACATACGTTTTTGTCATTATTCCCTAAACGATACATCATAACAAATACTTACATAGCATTTAACACTGGACTACTATAAGCAATCTAGAGATTATTTAAAGTATATAGGAGGATGTGTGTAGATTATATGCAAACACTACTCCATTTTACATGAGGGACTTGAGCATCTGCAGACTATGGTATCAGCCGGGGGTCCTGGAACCAATCCCCCATCAATACTGAGAGACTATTATATATACATTTTTTTTTTACAAAGGAGAAATAGTTCACCTACATTTATTTTGGGGGCAAGAAACATCAAACTTTAATGAACCAAAAACTTAAAGCATATCAAACCTAAAGAACTTCAAAGCAATTTAATTTTGTCTAAATTTTAAGAATATGGGCTTCTGCTACTGGCCAAGATGGAATAAAGTATTTGTTTACCCTCCAGTAGCATGAATCTAAAACCTGTACAAAACATATGAAACAATGGTTTTCAAGACACTTGTCTATTAGGCAAAAATGGACAGCGAGCCCTGAGTGGCAAGAACAAATGATGTGACCTCCGTGATTGTCCAACCTACTGCCTCGGGAGAGAGTCCAGGCTGTAGAGTAAGGAGGAGCCCAGGAGGAGCCAAGCAGACTCTACGAGGCGAGGAAATGGAGCTGAGTGTCCGGAAAGACAAAGGCAACCTGAGTTCACAAGGCAGAGTACTAGAGAGGAGAGAGCTATATATAGAAGAACCCAGGAGACTGACAGAAGGTCCCCTTGAGTATTCAGTAGAGTACTGATGGCACATACAAATGAGGCAACTAGAGGTCAAGGAAAAAAACCACTCGAAAGGATTCCAAGAAACAGTATCCAAAGCTAACATGGGGGAAGGAAAAATGTACTTGTGGTATATTACTCAGGGTAGAATGATAAATTAATAGTGTGTACTATAAACTAGCCACTAAAATAACAATGATAAGGAGATAAAAAATGGAATTATAAAAATATACTCAATCCCAAAACACACAGAAAAAGGAAACAGAACAGAGAAGACAAAAAAGATTTGAACTCATATCAAACACATTTAATAAGACCAAGAAATGAAACCATTACAAGCAACTTAGTTATACTGGGAATAAACTTAGTGCTGTTCAGTAATAATTCTGTGAGTAGTATACTTTTGCCTTAATAGCAAGTAAGAGAAAATTGAAGAACAGTGTTGACGCTATCAGTAATATCTTCAGCAACAACCAAGAAAAAGTTCAAAACATAGATTGTAAATTAACTGAAGATCATATCTCTCTTTAAAAGAACTCGTTGTAAGTTGTTTTAAAATGTATACATAGCTCAATTATTAATTTCCTCTTCCATGAAAAAAAGGCCACATAAGGGAGAATGATGAGGAGGAACAGAAAGAAAAGTGAAAAGATACAGAAAGGGAGGAGAGAACAAAGAGAGAAGGGGAAAGAGATCAATTGATTCCAGGCTGGAGGGTTTAACATGAACATATGCTTGTCTTTAAGATTCATCATGGGGTAAATTTATTAGACATAATCATGTAAAATACCCCATATTACTAAGATGACAAACACTCCCTTTTTTAATAAAATAAAGAGCTTAAAAACCATTTAAAAATCTTCACTGGAATATGGCATGAGTAATCAAATTAATTAAGATGTGTTGTACAGAGATACTGAAATCTGTTACATTGGGGGTTTGCAGCAAAAGTGACTACAATTACCTTTATCAGTTAAAGACATTACCCTTTAAAATCAAGAGGCTTTAAATCCATTCATTCTCCAAGTAAAAATAGTGGTAATAGCCTAATTAACCTTTATCCCTTTGAAGTTCATCCTTGGAGACAGCATCAGCACAGGCATCAAAGTACTTCTGTAGAGTATCAACTTGTCTACAGAGGATATCTCTGAAGGTTTCCATTTCAGCCAATTTCTCACGTAAGCTGTGGCCTTTCTGCAAAATATAAAAAGAAGGGATGTGATCCAAGTTTACAAAACAGTAATTTATTTAGTCCTACAGTATTTTATCACATTTTAAGGCCAACATCTTCTTAATGAAGGCAATGGGGTAAGGAGAGCAGTCAAGCTCAATGTAATACTCCCAGGTATTAACTTGAAGCTGACTAACAGTGGCTAGACAGTGATAAGCATGAAGGAAATAAGAGCAAAGAAGCCTGATAATTTTCTCATGTAAAACTGAATATTTTCAAATTACTGACATTGTGAGGAAAAAACGGTGAAAGACTTTGCAATGGGCAAAGATATTACTAGATGCCCTTTCAAAGGAATGGTGCAGGTCATCTATAGTACCTTTAGCCCTTCTAGAATCCTCAGGTTGTTGTCTAATCAGATAGAAGTCTTTGACTTCATTACATTTGACCAATTTTATAACTCTTTAAGTAGCGAAAAACTAGGAGTTATGTAAATGTTTCTTGCATATCGTGTCCATAGATATGCAAATAAACTTTGTTCACAGGAGATACACTAGTTACTAATTTGTGGATATTGAACAATTCCGCATATATTAGCAAAATCATTTTGGCATTTTTTTTCTTTTTTATTTTATTGATTATGCCATTATAGTTGTTCTATTTCCCCCCTTCATTCCCCTCCACCCGGCACCCCCACCCCTACCATTCCCCCCTTTAGTTTATGACCATGTGTCTCAAGTTCTTTGGATTCTATATTTTCCATACTATTCTTACCCTCCCCCTATCTATTTTCTACCTACTGTCTATGCTACTTATTATCTGTACCTTCTCCCCCCTTCTCCTCCCAATCCCCTGTTGCTAACCCTCCATGATATCTTCATTTCTATGGTTCTGCTCCTGATCTAGCTGTCCTTTTTTTTAGCCTGCTTTTGTTTTAGGTGTGGTTGTTAGTAACTGTGAGTTTGCTGTCCTTTCACTGTTCATATTTTTTATCTTCTTTTTCTTAGATAAGTCCCTTTAACATTTCATATAAGGGCTTGGTGATGATGAATTTTGGCATTCTTAAGATTCTCCCTTGAACCAAATTTTTTCTTTACATCTTATCTGTTAATGAACGGAATAAAATCTTTGATATGTTCATCTTGTATTTTATGAGCCATAAATTTTACCCCTTAAAAACTGTGTAACAACTCTAAGTAAATTATATTGTAGCGAAGTTCTTTCAAAAAACTATGAAATAAGTTCTGTTCGCAACACTCAGTACTAAATTCAGTTTATGAGGTCTTCACTTAAAAACATTCAAAACTACAAACCTTGAATGAAGAGGTGGATGTTGCAGAATAGCCACTTGCCCCAGACACCAGTGACACCATTGAGCCATGTCGACGCAAACTGGATTCAGATCCATAACCAGATTCAGTCTAAAAAAGAAAGAAAACTATATGAAAAGGAATTAAATAAAAAATACTTAACACACAAAAAACCTGTAACTATTTGAGATAATAGATTTTAATTTATAATCATTTCACTAGATGTATGTGTATGTGTCTGTATATAATCATTATGTCATATACTTTAAACTAATATAAGGTTCTATGTTAATTATACCCCAGTAAAACTAGAAAAGCACTTAAGAGAAGACAAGTTTTCCTATAAATTATTAAGCCTGTTATAAAAATTGGGGAGAAAAGTACAAAAAAGTAAAAATAATAGGAGATGGGCTAAGAAGTCTTGAACTGCTTTTAATTCTCTTCATATAACAAAGAAAAATAAACAATGAGTTTTTAAAAAAGAGGACAATGTCCAATAATATTTCTCCTTAAGTTCCTAAAAAAAAGGTTTTAATTATTTTTAGAAAGGAGGGAGGAAGAAAGAGAGGAAGAGAAACTCAGATTTGTGGGGCTGTCTCTCACATGCCCCCAACTGGGGACCAGGCCAGCAACCCAGGCATGTGCACTGACCTGGAATCAAACCTGTGACCTTTTGGTTTGTGGGAAGATGCGCAACCCAATGCGTCACACCAGTCAGGGCTGTAGTACCATGGTACCTCAGTATTCATTCTTAATTTGTTCCAGAATTTGTGATGAGTGCCAGAACTGACCAGTACCAAACTATTCCCAAGCTGCCATGAGGCTGACACATCGACCTCTGTTTTATTGGAAGAGAAGGGCACTGAGTTGCGAGCAAGTGGCCAAGTTCTAAAATGTTTTCTTTTCCTCATCAAAATGCAGTAAGTACAGTATCTGTACCGCATTATGCCTGTATTTCTTTATAGTACTATTTCTAATACTGTCACTTACCACTGTCTCAATGAAGCCTCTTCTATTACACCAGGCAATTTGTCTCTGTATTCTCAACCATTTTTAATATATTATGATTATGGCATTTATCACTCAATTATATTTACATTTTATAATTATTGCTGAACTTGGTTCTTTTGGAAGAAGACTCCATCTTTTTCATTTTTGTAGCCACCTCAACAGCTCACATTCCAACCAAGTTATCAATTTTGTCGATAACACAAATGTATTAAGTAATCACACAATGGAAAATAATCAACCTGCTAGATGTTCGGGCATATTCAGACTTGGCACTATAATACTTTTATCCAATTTTGATAAAGTTGGTACGCTTCAGAGGATCAATATTATATTCCACCCTGAAACCTGCTCAAGTATTTTAGATCTCTGGTTACTTTCGATAGCTATTTTATAAAGTACTGTGCATGGTTTTAGTCTTAATCCCTACACTTAAAGAGGTAAAATAATATTTAATCATTTTTTGGTATCACACCTACAATAAAACTCAATCATCCAATTAAAACAGTAGTTGTTTTAGGTTACCTGATTTTCAAGATTAAGATCAGGAATCATTAAAATTCAGTACAATGTATTACAGAAAATATTTCCACTGACATTTTATATCTTGTATGCTCTATTTCCTGAAAATCCATTATATTTCCTATACAGGTACTGGTTTATTGCTGACATTATTCCAACTGCACAATAGTCTTTTAGGTACAAGAACATTAAGCTTTTATACTGACTCAATACATGAGATTATATTATTTTTGTGTCAATAATATTAACACTGGTTTAAACATTTTTTCAGTTCAATGTACTAACAAATTACATATAAACAAGACTATATGGAATCTAACTCCTTTTCCAAGACGTGTATTATTATACACCATTACACATCTCAAAGCAAAGCAATGTCTTTAGTGATGAAGCAAGTATTTTGGTATTAAAAAAGCATGTGTACTTCACTGTATGCCAATTATACCTCAAGAAAATTTATTTATTTATTTTAAAGGCACAACTATTATGTAACAAAAGAAAGTGGCCAGGGTACAGTAGGGGCATTGACTACAAAGAGGAACAAAAAATTGGGGGGTGGGGGGCAGCAGAGAGTGTGTAGATTAACAGTTGTCAAAACTCAACTCTCCAATTAAAATAGATACATTTTAAGAATGTTTAATTATATCAAAACAAAGTAGAGAAAGAAATAAAGGTAAGCTTGTTTCAATATAACAGAATCTACCAAAATAAAATTCTAATTACAATAATCATATAGTTTACAAAAAGTAAGACTTTCTATCAAATAATGTCCTGGAACAAACATATTGAGCATGGTAGGTTCTTTAACTAAAATGGTTCTAGTTTCTTACTATTTGTGACAATAACACCAACTTTCTAAGTGTAGTGTTTCAACATTTTAACTGAACTGATTTGGTAAAGTTTTTCATTGGATTTAAATATATGAAACTGGAATTAAAAATAAGAATCTATCTGTAACAGGTTAAAAATATACGGTATTTCAGAAGTAACTTATCTCAGATACCTGTGTGTCATCCATTTCTAAACAGAAATTAATCTGAATTGTTTAAATACAAATGACCCTATAATTTACACTATAAATGATCAATATTTACCCCATAATCAGCATTTATTATTTATGTGACAAAGTTCGAAACCAATTTGAAGTTTAAATCCTAATGACTCTAACTGCTTTATTTCCTGCTTTTCCTACCTACTCATTTCCTGCTTTATATCAATGTCTTAAACACAGCAACTCAAACTTTACACAGGTAGTGAAACAAAATATAAACTCTACTTGATCTTGAAACAAAATATAAACTCTACAAAGCTTCAGTAAGTGTGTCTTTACCATAAAACATACTTCTCAAATCCTTGTCTATTTTTTTCAGGTTTCACTACCTCAAAATAAGCAATATCTCCTTACAACAAAGACACAGAACAAAATTCTACCATAGTAATAAAACATTTTACACAACTGGAGTAAATAAATGTGGAGGCTGAGAGGTTAGTATAATTGTGTTTCTACCTTTAATAAAGTTTCACTTAAATAAATTCCACTATAAATTATGTAAATCATTCCAAGGAAAAAGAAAATACACTAATTCCATTGTTGCTAAATTTAAATAATAAAGATTCATTTGTCGTTATTTCAGTCAGTAATTGCACTAAGATAACTTTGAATATAGTATTTAACAGATATATACACACACAAATGAATCCTCACTATTTAAAAAGTAGTCATTCTAGAAATACCTATAATTGTACAAATGCTTCTTCATTATGTAAAACATTCCTGATGGTCTTACCACAACACTTAGAGTAATTTTATGACAGCTACAAAATGAAGCTACCTGAAATCAGTTTCAGAATAAAAATTAAATAACTGTCTCATTCTTTAAATGAATAGTTTCTAAACATTAATTAAGCTTGATTGGCCTTCTTATTTATATAACATGGCTCTTCAGCTTTGAGTTTTTCTAAAAAAAATCTATCAACAAAAATTTAAAATATCTTTCAATGTTTTGTAAGAATCACTTCATTTATAAGCATTTATGTACTATTATTAAAAAAATTAACCACAGCATTTCTGCAACAGGTAGCATGTACAGTTTATTTCAAAGTTTATATAGCACACAAACACGTTTTTAAAATTGTACTAATTTATGGGCATTTACATAATACTTAAGTGGCACAGGTGCAGCCTTGTCTCAAGACTCAATATTTTATAAACACTGTCAGGGAGTTGAAAATAATTCTAAAGGAGAAGTTGTAAAAGTATTCTGAAAAGTGGCAATGTTGTTGACACATTTATTTTGGCTTCCCAAAATGTCCACTTTAAAAGCAACAATACTCATCCTGAATTTTCCTGAATTTATAACATCTGCTTTTGGAAGTTAGAGTGGGTGAGGGAAGCAGAGATAAAAGTGGGAAAAAATTAGTTTACGGTCACAACTGACACTCATAAATGTTCTTAAAATTATAAGATGCTTTTGAATCTTATTGATATGATTTTTATGGCTAATACTTCACAGGAATGCTGGCTTTTTAAAAATCCTAGTCACTCTTCCACAAGAAAATAGAAGTTGAACTTATTTACAATCTCTAATCCCCAATGTAGTATTCTGAAAATACTGAATTCTATCTAAAATTAATGAGAAATTCCAATGCAGTTAATGCAGGAATATTTTTCCCTTCCAATATATCTGCCTTAAGCTCTGACATATGAATTGCTGTATAAAAACTTTCCCAAATTTGTGAGTTTGTAAGCAATATTCCTGAATGTGTTTTGCATAAATATAAAGGGCCATTTTGACTTAATAAAACATTTACTGAATATGCCCTATATAGAACAAGGTTTACTTTTAAATACTACTGTAACAAGACCACACCTGTTTGTTACAATATTGCTTTTTATTTTTAAAAAACTTAAAAAAAATTTAAAAAATTTTAAAAAGCAGTCTTTTAGCCACTAGAGGGGGTTAGCAGCATTTTCCAAATGACAGTATACTCACTACCTGGAAAGCTGATACTACTGTTGGTCAAAGAACTAGAGTAACCTTAGTTTAGACTAATTGCTGTACATGTACCTGTATCCTCTGTATTTTAACGTTTTAAGAAAAATGGAAAACATAATAAATCAATGTAGTTCATAAGTTATGAATTTTTTAAAATATTTTATTTATTTTTCGATAGAGGGGAAGGGAAGGAGAAAGAGTGGGAGAGAAATATCAATGTATGGTTGCCTCTCATGCGTCCCCTGCTGGGAACTGGCCTACAACCCAGGCATGTGCCCTGACTGGATAAGTTATGAATTTAATAAAATACCAAAAATGACTAAGAAGTGATTTGAAAAGAAAACTCTCTTATGAATCTGCTGTTCTGTACATTGTGAATCAACCTATTCACACTCTAAAGCAGTGGTATAAAATATGGCAAAGAGATTGGCTTATATTTTTTAATGCCACCTAGTTTTTGAAAAGCTTATTCTTTCTCCTAGTAATATTCTCCAGCAAGAAATAAAGAAAAAAAACCCACAAACAAAAAAAAACCCAAAAAACAAAACAGAAATTAACTTCCTCAGTGTCAAAAATTATAGTTTT